AGGGTGTGACCCTGCAGCCTCTTGTGGACTATGATGAAATTTTGGACTTTACCTGGAAGCAGAAGAGCATCCTTTGGTGTAAATGGTAAGGGCATGAACTCTGTCATTTTTTTTGAGACAGAGCCTCAACCTGTCCCCCTGGGTAGAGTGCTGTGACATCACAGCTCACAGCAACCTCCAACTCCTGGGCTCAAGTGAGTCTCCTGCCTCAGCCTCCCAAGTAGCTGGGACCACAGGCGCCCGCCACAGTGCCTGGCTATTTTTTTGTTGCAGCCATCATTGTTGTTTGGTGGGCCCGGGCTGGATTCGAACCCACAACCTTAGGTGTATGTGGCTGGTGCCTTAGCCACTTGAGCCACAGGCCGAGCCAACTCTGCCATTTTTCAGCTATGAGTCCTTGGGAAAGTTGCTCAACCTTTCAGTGGTCCAATTTTCTCATCTATCACAGGAGAATATCCTGGTAGTCTATCCCATAAGACAGTTTTTAGAATTAAATGAGTTGGTGTATGTAAAGAGCTGTTCACAGCGACTAGTGCATGAGAATTTGCAATTTTTGTTGAAGAGTTTTAATCAAGAGAATAACAGGGGTCTGACTCTGTTGTCCAGGCTGGAGTACAGGGGGCAACCATACACCACAGCTTCTCTACAGCCTTGAGCTTCTGGGTTCAAGCCATCTTCCTGCTTTAGCCTCCCAAGTTGGAACCGCAGGTGCAAGCCACTACACCTGACTTTAAAAAAAAAAAATTCTGTAGAGATGGGATCTCACTGCCTTGTCCAGACTGGTCTCAAATTCATGGCCTCAAGTGATCTTCCCACCTTGGCCTCCCAAAGCACTGGGATTTCAGGCACAAGCCCCTGCACTTGGCTAGGTTTTTCCTTTTTGAGTCCTTCCTTTTGCTTTTTCTTCTCTTGCCTGGGAAGCCATTCTTCTCCTGACACCAGAAAACTATTAATCTATATTTCATTCTAGTTTTTTATGATTTAATTAAAATAATAACTCTTTTGAAATTTATTTTGATATACGGTGAGAAACTCAGAACATTTTTTGCCCTCGAGTTGTTAATGAATCGTTCTTGCATTATTTATTGAGCATTCCACAAATTTCCCATTAATTTAAAGGCTACTTTAATCAATACTAAACCCTATGTAGGCTTGGGCCTGTTTTCAGGCTTTTTAATTCTTTCATAGCTATATCTATTCTTCTGCACTGTTTTAATTATTATAATTTTACAATCCATTTCATATCTCGTAGATAAAATCCATTATTTATGCTTTTGGAATTTTTCTTTATTATTCACCTTTTTAATTTTTCTGTTGAAAGTTGAGACTAACATTTTTAAATTCCAGAAAGTTTCCAGCCAAGTTTTAATTGCAATTCTATTAAACCTTCGCTTGGCTTTGAAGCAGAATCAATAGATTTGTAATACTATTTTCCTATCCTTGAAGGTGGTGTATTCTGTAAATATGCAAGTTCAGGGGCCTCTCTCTCTTGGGGCTGTGGAGGGTCCAGTTTTTCCTCAGCCAAGGATGGAGGCAGTATCAGCCCCTGAGGACCATTGTCAGGACTGCCAAGAGCGGGCAGCCTTGTTTTCCTGCCTCAGACATTTGGAAGAAAAGAAAAAATAAAATAAAATCAATATGCAAGTCATGCCCTCTACAACATTTTGTTGCTACTTCAAATACTTCGTATATCTTAAAAATCTTATTCCTAGATGAAAAAAAATCTCTATCTGTCTGTCTGTCTGTCATCTATCACTGTGGTTCCCAATTGGGAGTCGTTTTGTCTCTCAGGGGACATGTGGCAGTGTCTGGAGATATTTTTAGTTGTCACCACTGGAAAACAGCTACTGGCATCTGGTTCGTAGTGGTCAGGGATGCTGTAAAATGTTCCACAAAGCCCAGGACTATCCCCACACAAAACAATTATCAAGCCCCAAGTATCAGGAGAGCTGAAGTTAAGAACCCTGATCTAGCTCTATTGTGAATAGTCTTTTTTTTTTTTTTTTGAGACAGAGTCTCACTATGTCGCCCTCAGTAGAGTGCAGTGGCATCACAGCTCACAGCAACCTCAAACTCTTGGGCTTAAGCGATTCTCTCGCCTCAGCCTCCCAAGTAGCGGGGACAACAGGCACCCACCACAATGCCCAGCTATTTTTTGTTGCAGTTGTCATTGTTGTTTAGTTGGCTTGGGCTGGGTTCAAAACCCACCACCATTGGTGTGTGTAACCACTGTGCTATGGGTGCCAAGCCATGAATAGTCTTTTCTTCACAGGGTTATGCTACTGGCATAGCAGTATTTTGATCGGTAACAGAACACACTCTGTTAAGCATGTGAGAAGCTGGTCCCTTGTCTTCTGGGTATCTGTTCTGAACTCTGGAAAGAGAAGCTTCCCTTAAAAGCCCATGTCCCTGACTTGGAGGGAGCCTGAGAGGACAGTAGTGCATGCTCCTTCCCTGTGCCCAGGCTGCTTTAGGTTTCTTGCTAAGATTTGGTGTCCTAAAGGAGGCCAATCTTAGGAATAGGGAGTGGGAACCAAGGGAGGTTCAGAAGAAAATCTATGATTCCATTTAGATAGATGTCAATACTGGCAAAATCCATTCTTTAGATATTTCATGTAGGATAATGGTCTCCAGTGCCATCCAAATTATTGAAAAAGACCTAAATTCATCCTTCCTCATGGCTGAGTAGTCTTCCATGGTGTACACACACCACATTTTGTTAATCCTGTCGTGAATTAACGGGCACTTGGGTTGTTTCAACATCTCGCACGTAGGCAATCAAGCAAGGGGGAGGGAGAAGGAGGCAATGGGCAAAACCTCCCTGATGAGTATGAACACGATCTGGGTGGTGGGAATACGTATAGCCCTGGCTCAAGCATAACAAAATAGATACATGTAACCCCAAACACTGTACCCCCATAATATTTTGAACTAAAAAGAAAAAGAACTGGCAAAATCCACTCCTACTGACAGAAGTCAGAGGCATAGTCGATAGGTGGGGGTGGAGGATTGAGTGATAGAGCCACAAAGGAAACGGTGGGATTATCTCTACTATTGGGGCCTGCGTGTCAAGTGGAGAGTGTTTTTACCCAGGACTTTTTAGTCCTTAAAAAATGAGGCACAACCATTGCCTCAAGCCCCTTTATGTCCTTCCCAGTCCCCTTCCTCTCACTGTGGTGAAATACACGTAACATAAAATGTACTATCTTAAACCTTTCGAAGTGTACAATTCAGTGGCACGCAGTATTAGGCACATTCATTTTGTGACACCATCACCACCATCCATCTCCAGAAACTTTTTTCATCTTGAAAAACTAAACTCAATACCCATGAAACACTAACTCCCATTCCGCCAGCCCCTGGAGACCACCATTCTACGTTCTGCTTTTATGATCTGTTTGTTTTTATGATTTTTTAAAAACAGACTGGGTCTTGCACTCCTGGGCTTCAGCCATCCTTTCACCCCAGCCTCCCAAGTAGCTGGGACTCCAGGCACCTGCCACAAGGCGTGGCTTGTTGTTGTTGTTGTTCCAGTTGTCATTGCTGTTTAGCTGGCCCTGGCCGGGTTTGAACCCGCCACCTGGGTGTATGTGGCTGGTGCCCCACCCACTGAGCTACAGGCGCTGCCCTGTTTTTATGATTTTTTAACAGACTGGGTCTCCCTTGGTTGCCCAGGCTGGTCTTGAACTCCCAGGCTCCAGCCATCCTTTCGTGGTGCATATCATTCTTCATTTATTTTTCACTTAGTATTTTTTAATCTACTTATCGAACTGAAGTATAGTATCCTTTTGCAGGTGCCTACTTCTACTTATCTAGTGTGTCATTACTGGCTATTTGGGTGACATCCAGTCCTTTGGTATGACAATGCTTCAGTGAACATCACGTCTTGTTTTTGCATATTTATTTTTCAGCCAGTCATAATACTGGTTTTCGGTTGCCCCCCTTGTGTTCACTGGAAAGACAATATTATCATGAACTTAAAATATTCCTTTGGCTGCCCTCCCTCCTATAGTGATGATTCATATCTATTTCTGGTCCGTTGACATTGCTTACCCATTTCAGAGCAATAGTAAACAGCAATGGCTATCCTCGTTTTGTTCTTGACGTTAACGAGATGTCTTCCTGAGTTTCACTGTCCAGGATGATTGGGGTGTTGGGTTTGAGATAGATGTTATTAATCATGTTGAGGCCTTATTTTTTATTTGAGTTTATTTAAATGAATTGTATAGACTAATTTCAGTGTTATTATGTGTATTTTCATCTTCAAATTACTATAGCAATAGACTCCTAATATTGAAACAACCTTGCCGTTTTTTGATGTGTTGTTCTCCTAATCCATTGCAAGATTACACTTGCCTGCAATTTTTTAAAGTATTTTTGCACATGCAACATATTGTTTTGGGCCTGTTTTTAAATTGGCTATCTTTTAAGTCACAGTTACAAGGTTTTCTCTTTCCTAACAGAGCATCACGGAGATATAATTTATATGCAGTAAAATGCACAAGTATACAGCTTAATGAATTTTGACAAATATACACACCCCAGTACCCGTCATGCAGACCCAGGTATGGATCTGGGCCCTTCTAGTGAATGCCCACTTCTCTGATTTATTTATTTATTTCTTTCTTTCTTTCTTTCTTTCTTTCTTTCTTTCTTTCTTTCTTTTCTTTCTTTCTTTTCTTTCTTTCTTTCTTTCTTTATTTATTTTTCTTTCTTGTCTCACTTTGTCACCCCTGGTAGAGTGCTGTGGCATCATAGCTCACAGCAACCTCAGACTTCTGGGCTCAAGTGATTCTCTAGCCTCAGCCTCCCAAGTAGCTAGGATTACAGGCACCTGCCACAATGGCCACTTAACCTTACAGACTTGCAGTATCTTAGTTCCTTTCCTTTCTAAGTCTCAGGTTGCCTGTGGCACCTGGACTGCTGCCCCTGTGTCCCCTACATCCCAGCGTGGTGATAGAGGAAGGGCAGGCCAGGCCAAACATAAGGCACAAAGTCTTTATTGGGCTCAGACCAGGAGGCCGTGAGTCTTGAGGACCTCTGTGTATTTGTCAGTTTTCTTCTCCACGTTCTTTTCGGCCTGTTTCTGTAGCCTCGTGAGCTGTTCTTTCTCCCAGTAGTGGATCTTAGCCTTCTCCTTCCTCTGCTCCTCCAGGGTTGCTATCATTGTCTGGTACATCCAGCTCCTCCAGGATTGCTATCACTGCCTGGTACAACCAGCCAACTTTGTGTGCCAGGTGCCCCAGGTAGGCAAACTTTCTGGTAGGCTTCAGACCCACAATCCTCAGGACAACGGGAACTACCATCCATTTTTTCTTGTCCTAGGGTGGTGGGATCCCACACTTGGTCTGGTGGGGCAGCATGCCTCTCACAGTCTGCCAGAAAATGTGGCTGGGGGCCTGGAAATGGTAGTGATGGGGTGGTGTTCATCTGTTTATGGAGGAAGGACAGTTACTTTAGCTTGTTTCTGTAAAAATTGCCACAGATGTTGATGACCTCACAACACACAACCACCACCTTCTGGCCTAGCAGTACCCGTTTGGACACAATGGCCACCGGGCAGCCCAGGAGATGGCCTCTGCCATCCAGCACCAGGACCTGCCCCTCTGCCATCTTTGGCAGCTGCCTGGTCATTTATTTTTATTTCTTAGAGATAGGGGCTCTCTGGAGTACAGAAGCTATTTACAGGCACAATCATAGCTTCACAGCCTCAAACTCCTGGACTCATGTGATCCTCCTGCCCCAGCCTCAAAATTCTCAATATATAAACAGTTCTAAAAAGGTAATATCAAAAGAATTCAACAGATATGTATATATATCTTTTGGTCTATCTCGTGGTTGAAGCTTAATCCATCTTATTCCAAAATATCTTGTAATAATCACGATGTATGTATATACATGCATATAATATGCCATTAGGCTTCCCAATGCCTCTGTGATGTGGGTAGTAATTCACATTTATCCAGGACATGATATTTTCTAACATGCTTAGATTACCTCATTTGATGCTTATTTCCCAAGGCTCACTTCCTGGCAATTCAAGCCCCAGTACAAATCTATCTATGTTAAGTTCTATGAACACAATGTCCTGTATTCTCTTTACTAAGCCTGTGCACACGTGGCCCACCTTGTGATGCCTGTTTCTCCTTCACAGCCCAGTTTAGACCCCATGAAGGTCTCCTGGTTCATTGCAGGATGGGAGAGGTGAGTGTGGGGAGCAAGGCCCTGAAAGAATCCTAGCCAGTGGGAGGAGACAACACCGCTCACAGGTGCCACTGCTTTTGGAACCATGTTACCTGGTGGTATAGGCTTTGCTGGGCTTTCTGGCTTTAGAAAAAAAAAAAAGTCCTCTCTAGGCCATTGCATCTCTTTTTCACATTTCCAGGGTATGGCAGGGGAGGATACATGTCAGATTGTTCATTGGCTCATGGTCAGCCCCCTGTGAGAGATGTCAAATCCTGTGTTTTGTGATCGAAGAACTTTATGGGTGGTGGGTGCTGTCCAACAGGGAATGGCCCAAAGCTTCAGGTTCTGGACAGTCTCAGGCCCTCTTGTGAGATGACTAGGGTTTTAGGAAAAATAGGATACACTTGGTTGAGTCTGGAGCTTTTTGCAGTTAGGTTTAGTTGGGTGTGAGGGTATCTTTGGGTAGCCTTTAAGTCTTGGAGATCCTGAGTCCAAGGTCTATAAGGACCTATTTCTGGAAGCTTCCCTGCACTGTCAGTGTTTGTTACTTGTCAATGCATGTCCAAGTTGTCAGGCTGGGAGATTGTTGGGGACATGGGCTCAAACTTCTCCATCTCCCTCACCTGTGGGGCCTAGTCTAGGGTCTGGCACCCAGGGGGCTGCAGCAAATGTTGGTCTGATGGAAACCACAGCACAGCCTCCTGCTTCTATCTCAGAAGCTCCATAACCGGTCACGTGACTGCCCACAGAGGAGAAGAAGATAAAAGAATCCCAGGTGACTCTGTGGGTTAAAGAGGTTTCAAAGCTCTTGCTTTAGAAGCTCAAGTAAAACTTTCACCCTGTGTTGACTGGATAAAGCATTCCGCCAGCCAGCCTGGGCTTGTCTAGGACTGGGGGCAGGGGAGAAGGGAGAGCAATGTTGTCACTTTAATTGCATTGGCATAAATATTTGATATTCAATAAATTAGATCTGGAGCAAGGAAAACATTCTTGCAAATGGATTTTTTACCTGGAGTCCAGCCCCATTAGCAGAGAAGAGGAGGGCAGCCTGCCCCGGGGCCCGTAATTAACTCAAGTGGAGCAGAACTAAGCATTTTTGACAGCCTTCCTGGTCTGGAATTAACTGTCATTTCAGAGGGAAAAAGAAACTGCACTGTCACATTACAGTTTACGAGAGGCTCCCAGTGCTGCCAGCCAGGCCGGGTTTAGTTACGTCTCCCCCTCATGCCCTGCAATGTTTTTTCATCATTAGAGACAAGTTTAAAAGCAACTAATGATGTATTTATACCCTCGTACCTGGATCACACATGTCACCCAAAGAGAAGACATTAGCATAGTAATTCAATTTTTTTTTCCTTTTTGGCAGATGTAATGAAACAAGATACAGTCGCTGCTGTTCTAAGTCACAACACTGTGATATCTGAGGATAGTACAAACTGGGGTTTTTCTTCTCTCTGCATCGGGACTTGCCTGTAACAAGCAATGGCTTAGCCACTGCCTGAGTTATCTCCCCTCCCCCCCTCCATGTTTATGAAAGTAGCAATTGCTTCTGAGAAAAAGGCAAAACCATTGGAGCCTGAAGCTCCTTCTAGAAGCCACTGCTCGCCTTGTTCTGTGGAAACTGATACAGAGGAAATTGGAGTTGTGCCGGCCTTGCCTTGCCAACACGTATGCAGGCAATTTTTCATAAGGTTAGAGATCTCGCCAGACTCAGTGTGCTTCAGAGAGGAAGGGCTGCGTGTGCACACAGTGCATTAGGAGGGGAGGGTCGTGTGCATCGGGAGGGGACGGTCGTGCTGCATGCACGCACACGTCTCCTTCTCTTAGATTTTCTACCTACACCAGCAGCAGCACAGCCTCAGCTCATCGTCTTTTTTTTTTTTTTTTTTTTTTTTGCAGTTTTTGGCCAGGGCCAGGTTTGAACCGCCCACCTCTGGTATATGGCACTCTACTCCTTGAGCCACAGGCGCCACCCAAGCTCACCGTCTTCTTCACTCTGCCTCAGCACTGTTTTCCTGGGGCCTTACATCCAAATGGGAGGCTGAGTCTCCCCTGACTCCCCCCTTTCTGCCATGCTCAGCTTGGTGGCCTGGTGGCCATCCTTACTGACCTGGACTCTCTGTCTGGCCTCGCTCCCAACACAGTGTCAGGTTTGAAAATCATGCTCCTGGTCCTACTTGCAAGCTCCCTGACCTTGGCTTTCTTCTTGGGGCTTCCACAGGGCCCTTGACCTTGGCTGCTTATCAGAATCTTGGGGATCCAGACCGGCTGGGTCAGAGTCCACAAAGTTGGTGCCCAGGTGGCTTGGAGGGCAGCCTGTGGCTTGTAGGATAAGCCCTGAAATCTTAGCCTCCACTGCTACTACCTGTTGGGTCCACAAAAGGGCTAGGCCACAACCTTAGACTTCCCTCAAGTGCCAACCGCACCAGCTCTTCCTCTGGTTGACTTCCACTCATCCTTTAAGACCCAGGGAAATGTCACCTCCTCTGTGTAGCCCTCCCTTACCCTCCCAGGTAGAATTATAGGCATTCACTCATTCATTCAGCAAACATTCACAGAGCTCTTGTAGGTGCCAGATCCTGTGTTGGGTCCTGAAGACCAGGAAAGACAGATTCAGGGAGCTGCCTGCTGGTGGGGAAGACGTGGGAGACGGGAGTCAGGGAAGGCTTCCTAGAGGACGCTCCAGGATGATCTGAAGGGTGTGTGGGAATTAGCCACAGAAGGGGTGAGGGTGGGAAAGGGAAAGGCTTTGGATGGGGAAGAGTATCAGAGGACAGGAATGGGGGAGACCCAGGGTGTAAGCAGAGGCCCGATTCCGGCTCTCTGGTTGAGTGTGTGGTAGGATGCTTGCAGGTATCTGCTGGTGAAGTGAGAGACCAGGAGGAGGCCAGGGGTTGGGCACTGGAGGGCATTGAGGTGAGAACCAGTGCCAGAGAGGGGACAGAATGTAAGCTCTAGGCTGTCAGTGATGAGATGTGTCCCTGCACTTTCTGTCCCTATGAGGCAGTTATCATTAGTCCCACTCCCCTTATGTGAGTTGAGGTTCTAGTTAACTAATGTGCCCATGATCATTCAGAGAGCGAATCACCCTTGCAAGGTGATTCTGGATCCCAGGTTTTGCCACACAGATCTGGACTGACCTGCCTTCTCATCAGAGCTGGTCATCCTCTATCATGCCCTCTGATCAGCCCATACCTGGCTCAGAGCCGACTCCTGGGGCTGACTAGAGACTGTGGGACTTGTGCAGACCGTGGAACATTTGAATTTTCAATGCATCCTATTTCAAGAGAGAAATAGGATTTTTGAAAAGGGAGTTCAGATCCCTTTGAGAATGACCTGGGATCAGTGGCAGTTGCATCATTGCCCCGTGTTACTGAGATGCAAGCGAAGCCATCGCCCTGTCCTGAGAGCCAGGCCTGGGGACAGCACAGTTCTGGGCTTCCTTGTTGTTGGCTGGGCTCCCACACGCTCAGGGGAGCATTTAATGTGACCTGTCCACAGCCCCCACCAATGTCTTATCAAGGAGATCATTTACATGATCATTTACTGATCATTTGACATACAGTAAAAAGCACAAATCTAAGACTTCAGCTTGATGACTTCTTTCAAAAACAGATTTTTAAAATTTGGAGATAGTTTTATATTTACAACAATATCGCAAAAGTGGTGCAGAGTTTGCATATACTCTACACCTTGCATTGTTATAATATAGTTGTCAAAACTAAGGAATCGGCTCAGCACCTATCGCTTGAATGGCTAAGAGCCAGCTACATACACCTGAGCTGGGGGGTTCGAATCCAGCCTGGGCCCGCCAAACAACAATGACGGCTGCAACCAAAAAATAGCCCGGCATTGTGGCGGGTGCCTGTAATCCCAGCTACTTGGGAGGTGGAGGCAGGAGATTCGCTTGAGCCCAGGAGTTGGAGGTTGCTGTGAGCTGTGATGCCAAGCACTCTACCCAGGGCAACAGCTTGAGGCTCTGTCTCAAAAAAACAAAACAAAACAAACAAACAAAAAAACAAAACTAAGAAATCAACAGTGGTGCCTGACCATGAACACAACTCCAGACGTCCCCAGCTTTTCCATCCAGGTCCCCGTCCTGGATCTCACATTGCACTTTGCCATCAGATCTTCCTGGTGTCCTCTGCTCTGTGACTAGTCTCTCTGGGTTTTGCATGACTTTGCCAATTTTGAGGCCTATTGGTTAAGTATTTTGCAAAATATTTTTGATTTTTCTCTCTTGTTTTGCTCACAATTAGACTATGTTTATGGGATTTGGAATAATACATGTTATGGCTGGTAACAATAGGTTGGTTGTTTTTTTCATTGTTGCCTCACATTCCCCTGTAGGAATACACACACAGTTTATTTATCCATTCTACTCTTACTGGACATTTGGGTTGTGTCCAGTTTGGGCCTCTTATATA